GACTGGTTGAAACAATGATTGCCGCACTCTTTACAATAGCCGAGAGTTGGAACCAGCCCAAATGTCCCTCATTGGATGAGTGGATATGGAAAATGTGGTATATCTACACAATGGAATATTACTCAGCTATAAAAACGAATGAAATACTGCCATTTGCAACAACATGGATGGACCTTGAGAGAATAATATTGAGTGAAACGAGTCAGGCAGAGAAAAAGAAATACCACATGTTCTCACTCATTGGTGGGAGCTAAAAAATAAACAAATTAATTCACCCACATACACACACAAAAAAAACCGGGAGGGGGGGGAAGAAGATATAACAACTGCACCTTTTTGAAGTTGTTACAACAAGCAAACGGAAAGGACATTCTTGGGGGGGAGGGGAGAGAGGGAGGAGGGAGGGAGGTGTCGATGATGGGCCATAATAATCATATACATTGTATATTGACAAAATAAAAATTTAATGAAAAAAAAAAGAAACTAAATGATACCTGGATTATCATTCTATGCAAATGATAGAAACATAGCAAGCAGAGGACATGTCAACAAAACCTAGGGTTAGTGTTTTAAATAACATAAAGAGTGCAACTGATGGTTAGCCAGATGCTCATGTGTTTTTCTGTGTCACTGTTAGAGATTTAGGTAAAACTAGTCCTCAAAAGTCCAGTTGCTGCCTATTAAATTGACTTGTGTGTAAAGAAAGCTGACCTTTTTCACTTATAATAATGTGATAAATTATGTAATTTTCTGATCTTTTTCAGAAAAGAAGAGAAGAGAGCACTAGACTAAAGGAGGAAGGAAATGAACAGTTTAAGAAAGGAGGTAAGATAACTTATAGCACTGATGTCTGGTCATCTTGACTCCTCATCCTGTTTTAGAGTCTGAAGAAACACCGAAGAACATTTGGAAACAACTAGCAGACCTAAACTGCCCACAATACAGTGCTGTTTGCCAACACCTTGGAATTTTGTTATTTTAGCAGGTCCAAATCATTCTCAGCTGACAGTGACCAGCTATCATGTGTCTCTTGGCACAGACATAGTTATTCTTTTCTGTAATCCACTATCTATTAATCCAGAAATCGGGTAAAACTCTTCAGTTCTTGCTCTGGAAAACACTAAACCTTGAATGTGAAAAAGCTGTTTGCTGTATTACTGTAAAAGCAGGGTCCCCATTTCTCACTCGCTATGGTGCTGTGAAAATGGAACTGGCTGCGCCAGCATGGCCTAGGGAAGTACTTTGCTTGTTCCTTGGTTGCCCTTTCAGATGCCTTTTTATTTGGATGGCTTAACTAGAGCAATGTTCTTCATGTCCTTCTGTATTTTCTACATTGCTTAGGAATAAGTTGGGTTTCATTCAATAATTTGGGAAACTATTTGATTCTATAACAGCCTTCTGTCACATATCAAAGTGTTTATGCTTTAGAAATCTAGAAGTGTTAACTAGTTTCCACTAGTTATTTTCATTTAAAAGTTTTTTTTCTTGTATCTTGATTTAGTAATCATCATTTCTTTCATTCTTATAGAACTAATGGTTCTAATTTTGGAAGCATATCTCTTTGTACGTTAGTATAGGTTGAGTATTCCTTATCTTAAATGCTTGGGACAAAAAGTTTTGGATTTTGGGTTTTTGGGGGTTTGGAATGTTTACAGATACCTAACTAGTTAAGCATCCCATCCCTAATTTGAAAATCTGAAATCTGAAATGCTCCAATGAGCATTTTCTTTGAGTGTCATGTTGGAACTCCAAAAGTTTTGGATTTAGGGTTTAGAATTTTCTGATTAAGGATGCTCAGTCTGTATTAAATATTTCAAACCTGAGAAAGGAATGAATAAGCAATTTTCTCCTAGTATCCTCACCATAGTTCTGCACATAATAGTGAATATATAAATTTATCACCATTTTCTCTCTTAATGTCTTTAGTTAAATATTGATTTTTACATTGTTTGAAAAGACATTTTATGGGTACAGTTTTTGCCAGGTTGACGGTATGAAAGCACAAAACATATACATAGAATTTTTTTTTCATCCCAGGCCATGGATCCCAGACTTTAGTCTCTTTCATCTGTCCAGTTCCCTAACCCATTTTGAAAACTCTTTTCTAAATTGCAGCCAAATGAAAGTTGACCATCTAGGGCATGCTAGGATTCTTGAGCATTGAGGCCTCTCCACTGCCAATGTGTTCAGCTGTCAATTCACCAAGCATACCTTGTGAGATTGGCACAAGCAAGTACTGTTTCTTTAAAGAGAGAGGAATGGGGGAGATGAGTTTTACTGCCCAAAACTTTGTAGACTGTTACTGTTTTTTTATTTGAAACCTTTATCCTATGAATGCAAAGCTATTCATTCTGAGATCCTATAGAACACAGTAATATCAGGAATAAAATCATAATGACCACTCACTCTTTACCTTATCATCCTCAGATTATATAGAAGCTGAAAGTTCTTATAGTCAAGCCCTTCAGATGTGCCCATCTTACTTCCAAAAAGACAGGTCTATTCTGTTTTCAAATAGAGCTGCTGCAAGGATGAAACAGGTATGAATCTGCGATCTTTTCTTTTTAAGAAGCACATGGATTTGCCGTGTTTTCATAGGGTAGTTTCTCTCCAATAACTAGCATAGGGGCTTACAGTTGCTGTCTCCCTTTCCCTGCCCATATATTTCCCTGATGTAAAGGGCACAAAGAGGATAGAAAAATATTTTGACAAATTTGAATCATATTATTGTTAACATTCCCCATTAAAGTAGCTGAGTAAATACTTTTCATGAAAGGAAGGCTGGCAGAGTTTCCACTAAACTGGGACAGGTTAATGAAGCAAGGAGCCAAGTAGCACATGTCCTAGAATAGCTACAGCTGCTTATTTTAGGCCTCTGGAATTCTAGATAAAGACTCAAAGACACAGGGAAAAACTGATAAAAAACTTTAGACTTAAAGATGTTTATTCCTAAAATTCTGATTTTTCTGTTAAAAGTATGGACACAAGGAGAGATGTCCAACAGTTGGGATGAAAGGTGCCCTTAAATGCAAAGCAGGTGTCAGGGAAAATTCAGAAGCTTTTTGCATTTCCAAAGGATTAAGAACCTATTATAGCAGGGTGAATGTAGAGTAGATGAGAGTCTAAATATATTTGTTATACCTTATTGGTATTAATAGTTAGATTTGTTGCTGATCTGTCTGATTGTTGCTAACATAATAAGTCTCACTGGATTGAAATGATGAGAGTTTTTTTAAAAAAAACAATGCCATTTGTTTAACTATGGCTACTTATATCAAGAGTGCAAAGGGTAGGTGTTTAACATACCTTTAAGCAACTATGAAGCTGGCTCGAGAGATAATAAGTCTCACTGGATTGAAATGATGAGAGTTTTTTTAAAAAAAACAATGCCATTTGTTGAACTATGGCTACTTATATCAAGAGTGCAAAGGGTAGGTGTTTAACATACCTTTAAGCAACTATGAAGCTGGCTCGAGATTGTGTGAAGTGGTTATTTATTTATTTATTTAGATCAGCTATCTACATCACCTTCTCTTCGATATGGCCTAAAACTCTAGTTCCTCTACCAAAGTCACTTTTGGTTTCCAGGTTTTGTTTTGTTTTGTTTTCCCCCAGAAGGTTCCAGGATAGGGAGAAGTGTGTGTCGTGAATGTTTGGACATACAGGAAGGTTTTTATTTTATTTTATTTTATTTTTAACCAGAACATGTATATTTTATTATTGGATTCCATCTTCAAGATGAAGTATTTTGGGAGTGTTTCACGTGGCATGGGAAAAGAAGTAATTTTACAGAGTATATGAACCAACATTTTGTGTTAGGGAAAATAAAACAATTGTTTTAAGTTTATTTAAAACAATATTAATTAAAGGATTGTACTAGTGATCAGAATTCACACCTAACAGTTTTACACTTAGCTGGAAAATTTTTATCTTCTGCATTTGCTCCTCCATCTTGCCACATTGTCAGACAGGACATTATCATTGTGCAATGGGATCCAGGATACATTCAGTGTCAGAGAAAATGCTCCATACCCAGTTGGCTCGTGGGATTTGGGATTCTTTCCACAATTGCCCAACTTACTGATATTTCTAGGTTTGCTAGCATAATAGACTAGTTCTTGAATTAGGAAAATGTGTGGTCTTGCTAGTCTTTTGTGTATCACATCTGAGGAGAACTCAAAAGAGTATTGCTCTGTGACTGTTTCCTGCGCAAAGGATAGTTTGTTAGTGGAGTTTTCTGCTTGTTATTTTAAGATGTGTTCTTACTACTTCAAGAAGACTCTAAAATTAGAGACTTGAAAACTTCCAGGATTAGTACCCTGACACAATTTAAGGAGCATATTCTGAGTTTTTTAATGAAATGATGATTTAATTACTTTAAAGAAATTAAGAATTTCTAAAAGGTGGGTTTGCAGGCTCAGCATCCCTGACTAAGTGCCCCTGGCCAAACTTCACATTTCATGTCTGGAAACAGGAAAAGCAATCTGGAGTTAGAGCAGAGTTTCAGCGCTAGGTCTAGCTAGCTACAGAAGAACAGACAAAGCCCTAAAAGAATAGGTTTTAGATTTTTAAACTACTGTTCTTACATATTATGTACATTATTTATTATATACATGTGATAGATATCTATTTATGAAAATTATGAAAGGATGGTAATTAAGGTCTGATTTTTTTCCACACACCCTACTTTAGAGACTACTGGCAGACAACACCTGGGTCCCTGAGGTGTTAGATTATAAGCCTCAAAGAAAGGATTCTGCAGTAAAATACCATAATTCCTTGATTTGAAGAGACCAATTAATAAGAATCACTGCAACTTAATAATAGTTTCTAGGGGCACAAAGAATACCAGTACAACAGTTGCACACATAAATTGTAAAGATTTTCTATTCCAGAAACTTTATGAAATTGTGTCTCTTTGATTTATGGAAATGTAATAAGTTGAAGAAATACTGACTTACACGAAGTTATACAGATTTACTGCAGGATTTCTTAGTGCTCTTAATATGTGAATTAGTATGATGAATAATGGAAGAAATAGAATATAGTTAGTGTTTCCCAGATAACCTTGGAACCTTTTTGTTTTATTATGATAAAATACACATAACATAAAATTGATCATTTTAACTATTTAAAAGTGTATAATTCAGTGGCATTAAGTACATTCACAATGTGATCATCACCTCCGTCTAGTTCCAGAACTTTTCCATCACCCTAAAAGGATAACATCACACTCATTAAGCAGGCCCCATTCTGGAACTGCTTTTGATTGAATCCTGAAACACAATTTAATAAACACTGCTCTAAAATTTTGTGCAAATTATTTAGTATTTGCTACAGTGGGCATTATAAGAGTATTGAATATTTATTTGAACATTTCTGTAATATTGCACAAAACTTCTAATATAGGAAAAACAGACATTTTAGAGCTGGAAGACATCTTATATAGCATTCAGTCCAGCCTTCTTATATTTTAGATGAGGAACTAAGCCCTAGAGAAGGAAAGCAGCATGGCCAGTATTAAACAGAAGGTTAGTGTAAGAGCTGGGACCAGAATCTAGTTCTTTTGACATCCAGTGTTCTTTCCACTATGCCATGCTCCTAGATTAAGCAAGTTAAATTGGTTAGATATTTTATTTGGTGAATTGTTATATATTTTTGTTTTGTCAGTGGATAATTAAAGCTTATTACTGAAACTCCATGACAAGCCACACTGTGTGTCTATAGGTGGACCATCTGTATACTTTCTGGAAGATACCACTTTGGGTGTGGTAGTATAACAGCTAGCCAAAAAGGATGGTATTTAATTTCATTATTCATGTATTAGTCATTTGCCCTGTTTATTGATCACAAAGATTTCTCATTGTCAGCATTCTAATGTAAAGTGTCTTCCAAATGTAATAGGTCAATTAAACAATTAAGAAAGAAGCTATTTGAATAATTTGTTACCAGGAGGCTTTCCAGGCCATAGCCATGCCCATGTTAATTGTGAATTTTATCTTCAAAGTACTGTGCATATTTTCTTGTGATTTCTTTGAAAAATATTCTGTATCTCCATAAGCAGTTATTAATGACCAGATCATGTCATTGAACCTTTGAGCCATTAAGATAAAACTAGGATGACACATATTAATGTTGTATTTCCTTTTAGGACAAGAAAGAGATGGCCATCAGTGACTGCAGCAAAGGTACAACTTTTTTGTGTGTTACTACATGTTAACGTACAAGAGCATTACCTTAGCTAGACAGACAGATACAGGGGCGTGTTCCCTTTTTCTAGGGCCTTTACAGAAGAAGCTTTATGGTTCAGTATTTTCAGATACTGTGTAGTAGTCATCTTAGAGTAAGCATGCTCTTGAATGGATAGTTCAGTCTGTTTCTCTTATATTAGTAAACATGTGAAGAAAAAGTCAAAGCTACCTTGGCAACAGAATTCATGGAACAGAATCTACTTATTGTAGTTTCCAAATTACTTTCGTTTGAGATTCAAACTAAAGATGTTAGCTGATATTAGGGCATTTGGATCTGTGTGTTTGGGGATGGGAGGCGGCTGGGGTGAGGGACTGTTTCTGTTAGTGAATTGGTGGTCTCTTGAGATGTAATAATTCTTCCAAACCTACTTCCTGGCATTTTAATTACCCTTTTAGGTTCTATACAATAGAGCAAGCCTTTGCTCTGTAATATCTGAATTCCATTAAGGCCTTTTCATCCCACCAACTTTTATAGAGATATGCCCAGACATAGGATCGCTATTTTTTTTTTTTTTTCCAAAAATTTCCTGATAGGCTAACAGTTGTCTTGCCTTTCTAACCAACCTGATGTGGAGAGCACACATAATCACTCTTCCTTGCATCATGTTAGTCTCATGAGTTTTTCTAGCTAAATACTATTTTTGTATTTTGTATTTTTTAGTTTCCCTTCTTTGGATAATATTTTCTGAGAGAATCATAGAGTTGGAAAGAACCTTATATGTTACCTAGTTTACTTCTCACATTAAGCATAAATTCTGTCTTCTATTTTTTTTCCTTTCATTCATTAATTTGGCACCCTCTCTACTGGCTTTCTTTACTTTATACTTAGTATTCCTTATCTGAATGAAACTGTTACTATGTTAAAATCTAGCAGACCACTCCAATTTATCATCATCTTGGACTGGAACTTCCTGAATGTACTGTTTTGTTTGGAAGAAGGTATTTAACTTATTTCCTCTGTGTGAGATGTGTAGGTTTGAAGAGCTTAAATTAGGAAGAAGCAGCTGATTTTCAAATGTCCTTTCTTTTTTGTTTTTATTTTTATTTTATTATTATTTTTTAACTGTATGTTATCTACAGCAGACCTCCTTTCTCTGTAACCAAATGGTGAGAAAATGCCTTGTAAGCTTGATTAGCTGGGTATACCCTAGGAAACAGTTCATTTCCAGCTGTAACCCTAAGTGTAGGAGCCTTGCCAAGAACATGAGGGGAAAGGAAGGAAAGTATTTTCCAGATTTGGTTTTGGATTTGCTTAAACTAATATTCATGTGCCTAGACTCAGTCATTATGGACACATGCATGTACCCATTGGCAAAATACATTGGTGTGATAATATAGATTATTTGTATTAAGACACCCCCCACACACACACACACTCACTCACTCCGTCTCTCCCTCTCTCGGTTCATGAACCTTGGCAAAGAACTTAACAGCTTGTTCCTGAGGTCATATTGGAGCTCCTTACTGCTAGTCATATGAAATAATATTTAATGCTGGTCACCTTAGGGTGTCACCTTAGGATTTTTAAAGCAATCCTTTAAAAATGTAAGTCAGATTACGTCTTAAGCTTGCTTGAAATCCTTCCAATGGTATACTTAGGAAACAGTCCAAACTCCTTTCCCCGGCAAAGAAGGCCCTCCATGATTTTGTTCTTGCTTGTATCTTTAATCTCATCTCTTCTCCAGCCCCCAACCTAGTCACTAACATGCCAAGGTTTTTCTTGCTTTAGAGACTACTCTTGTTATTTCCTCTTCCTGGTACACTATTTAGCCTATCAAATGGTGCCTCCCACAAATACTCCCTCTTCATTTTCTCTGACTACTTTCTGAAGTTACTTCATTTGCCTGTTCAATTACATTTACAGTGCATTGTTTTATTTTTCATTATCACACCATGACTATCTGAAATTGTTTACCTGTATGCTGCCACATGCCCCCTAGAATAGCACAAAACTTCATGAGAACAAGGACCTTGTCTGTGTTGTTTACCACTATAGCCCAGAGATATACTACATTAGAAACATATATTAGGTACTAAATAAATGTTTACTGAAAGCTTGAATGAATAAAAATTAAGGGTATATTAGGTGAAGAGAAAAAAGTTCTAGAGCCAGGATATTGCTTCCTAATAGAAAAAGAAACAACTCGGAAGAGAATAGGAGAAATGCAGTGTGCTTGAACCAAAGCACAGCAGAGAATGATTAGAAGGTCCGTTGTTGCTGGATAGGGGAAATAATAGTATGCACCAATGACCTAATGCTTCTAGAGCAGTAGTGTGAAGGAACAGTGAGAGTTTAACTAGAAATGTAACTTTGGTAGTTGAGGCCTAGAAAAAGAGAATGATAGAGTCTGCCACTAGACTATCTTCACTCAACTCTTTAATTTATACCTTCAAATTCTCTCTTTTTCATCATGCACTTGAGCTGTGTATTCTGGCTTGTTGTGGACTAGGTAAAGAACAAGTAGGCAAAAACCAAGAATTGGGGTATAGACCAGGGTTCCACAAGCTATAGCCATAAGCCAAATCTAGCCTTCCACCTGTTTTTGTACAGCCTGCAAGCTTAGAATGGTTTTTACATTTTAAAGTGGTTGGAAATCAGAAGAAAAGTATATTTCGTGATATGTGAAAATGTGAAACTCAGATTTCAGTGTCTATAAATAAAGTTTTATTGGAACACAGCCACCCTTATTTGTTTACATATTGTCTATGCCTGTTTTCATGCAACAGCAGCATATTTAAGAAGTTGTGACAGAGATGGTGTGTCTGGCCCACAAAGCCTAAGATCTTTACTATTTGCCCTTTACAGAAAAAGTTTGCTGACCTCACGTATAGCCTTTGACAAATGACTTCCTTTCATACCCTTGGCGGCTAGTTGATGAAGGAATTTCATATAGCCAAAGATATATAGGTCCTTTTTCTTTGTGGTAACAATTATTTCTTCTCAAGTGACATAAAGTTCCATTTGTTTAGCTCCTGTTTTTTATCCATCAAAAACCTTGTAGTTTAGTCCCTCCGTGTTTATTTCTAAGTTTTTAATGGATTTATTTCAAATTATAGCAGAAATGATTTTCTATTTATACTTATCTATATTCATATGAGGGCAAATTACTAATTTTTGTATTATGTATCCATCAATTTTCTCAAATTCACCTCGTATTATTAGTACTTTTACAACTAAAATAGATATATAAATAAATATATATATATAGCAGAATAAAGAAATGTTTACATACTCCTTTCAACCAAAAAACCAATTATTTCTTCTCTTTTTACAGCAATTCAGTTAAACCCCACCTATATTAGGGCAATATTGAGGAGAGCAGAGTTGTACGAGAAAACGGACAAGCTAGATGAAGCCCTGGAAGACTATAAATCTATATTAGAAAAGGATCCATCAATACATCAAGCAAGAGAAGCTTGTATGGTAAAGACCTAAATTTTTAAAAATATTTTTTCTTCTATTCCTTGTGTTGCTACTGAATGAGTCTTAAATAATCCTTTGGTACACAACTAAATTCTGTTTGTATGCTTTTGAAGAACTTATCAAAATAAGTGGGAGATAGATATTTGAAGTGGTGGCCACAAACCCACTGTGACCATGTACCATTCTAAATGTGGCATATGTAAACCTTTAATGTTAGGATTGACAACAGCTATATTTCATTGTTGGACTAGGGAAATTCTGTCCATTGAATCCAAAGTGATTCTTAATATTATAGGTGATAAACTAATTTCTATCCATCGTTTTCCTTATTTAGTCACCAAGTTTCCAGTCTTTTGTCATATGCCCAGCACATTTCCAATTGAATATATCCTAAACTGACCTTCTTATCTTTCTTAAGATGGCTGTTATTCTTGTCCCTGGTACTACAAATCCTTCTGCTTTTAAACCTCATAATTATTTTTATCTCAGTTATAATTTAGCTAAATGTTATTGATTTCCCCTCTTTAAAAATAACTCCAGATTTGTGCTTTCACCATTACCATCACTCCTTGATTATCATTAATTCATAGAGCAGCATTTTCTCTACAGCAGGGGCTACAGAGTTGGATGTGTACAAGTCACTGCCTAAAAATAACGGATATTTGAGTAAGTTTGAGAAACACAGGCTTTCACAAGTTAAACAGGTTTCTTCACGCCAGACTTCTCAGAGAGCCATTAGGATGGGGAGGTCTGTCATAAATCCCTAGTAGGCAGGAGAGACTGCAGACCAACAGGCAGGCAGAGGAAGGCTACAGACATGTTTTATTAAGTCAGACTTTTTTTCCAAATTGAGGGCCACTTGCTAACATTTAAAAATCGGAAGATTTTACTGTATAAAAATCTAGATCTGACTCCTCTTGAAAATTGGAAGATGTGGTCCTTCTTGAACTCCTGCATGTTGGCATTCAGCTGGAGCTCTCTAGTTCTACCATTGACCTCACCATTGCCCTCCACCAACTCCTGTTCTTACTTACCTTTCCTCTCTGACTCCTGAGGGCTTTTGAATCCCTTCTGTGTAGGATTTCCCACTTATTTCATGGGACTATTTTTCCACAGAGCAAACCTGAGAATGTTGACTGGTTTCCCTGCATTAATATCTGAGGTGATTTTTTCTTTTCACGCATGAGGTGAATTCCTTCAATAATAACATAACTTTTATTTATCTAGAAATTAAGTAGTGGGAGACAGGTTGGTTTGGATAATTAAATTAAGTAAGCAATTTGAAACCAATTTTAATCTAACTTAGACTTCTTAACATATCTCTAAATGGTGGTAGGATTAACTTAAATTTGACGTGAGGAAAGGGAATAGAGTTCATAAAATCTTGGGTAAATTCTTGGTTGCCTTGATCCTTGTTAAATTAGTTTTAAGTCTTCTGTGAAAGGAAGCCCTTTATGGTAGTTGTTATATGCAGAAAGAATTTGTCACTTTGAATTTTAAAAAATGAGTTATTACTGGAATCCCAGAGTACTTGGGGCCAATTACAAAGCTAAAAGTGGCCATGAAAGACTACTCTATTTATTTATTTTTTTATTTAAAAGATGACCGGTAAGGGGATCTTAACCCTTGACTTGTTGTTGTCAGCACCACACTCACCCAGTGAGCTAACCGGCCATCCCTATATGGGATCCGAACCCGTGGCCTTGGTGTTATCAGCACCGCACTCTCCCGAGTAAGCCACAGGCCGGCCCCCATGAAAGACTACTCTAGATCACTGGTTTTCTACCAGGCAATTTTGGTTCCGAAGGACATTGGCAGTGTCTGGAGACATTTTGATTGTCATGACTGAGAGGGTACTATTGGCATCTAGTGGGTAAAGGCGAGAGATGCTGCCAAACATCTTACAAAGCACAGGACAGCCCACACAACAAAGAATGATCCAGTCCAAAATGTCAGGGTTGAGAAACCCTGAGCTAAATGATCATCTAAGAACATCCAAGATTGATCTACCCTTTCTCAAATTAGATTGTATAAAGAAGAGATTTCAAGTTAAAAAATATACATGAATGGTTGGTCGGTCAGCTCACTTGGTTAGGGCATGGTGCTGATAACACCAAGGTTAAGGGTTTGGATCCCTGTACCAGCTAGCTGCCAAAAAATAAAAGAAAAAGAAAAGAAAATACAAATGAGCAAAAAAAAACTTTAAATATAAACATCACCCATAATTCTACCACCTGAATGTACCACTGAAAACATCTGGTATGTATCAGACATTTTTTTCTGTGTGTATTTATTCTCCACATTTGTATTAAGGTCCTGCATTGGTCTAAGCTCTCTGTTAAGAACTGGGAATACAGCAGCTCACTCACAAACCTAAACACTTGGCTTTTCCTTTAAGGGGATCATATATTTATACTTAACCCAATCCTCTTGTCACATTAGGTTTTTAATGTTTCTCAAATTCAAAATAAAGGCAAAGGATTTTTCACCAACTGTTGTTTCTTCTCTTTTTCCCCCAGAGATTACCTAAGCAAATTGAAGAACGTAATGAAAAGCTAAAAGAAGAGATGTTGGGTACGTTTAATTTCCCTTACTTTCTCTTGACCATAAACAGCTAGGAAACTAGGGTGGGGGACATCGTTACTTTTATTCAATAGAGAGAAACATAACAGTTAGAATTAGCTTTGGGACCCTTTCTTGGCTATCAGCAATGATACCATGGGGCTTGTGACTTATTGATTGATTGATTTTGGTGCCTGGCACCACACTCTAACCAAGTAATCTAACTGGCCAGCTCATGGCTCGTGACTTCTTAGCTGTTTTTGACCCCAAAAGGAGCATCATAGTTTAGAGAGGGTATCAGTGTTTTTGGAAACCAAATCTCTATTTTGTTTTTCATGAAAATTTTCCTGCCTTCAAGAATGCAAACATATCTTTGTTCTACTCTTTCCCCCCTTCTCACCACTGCACTTCACTAGTCTTAAAAAAAAAAAAAATTATGCAAACATAATTCACTTCTTAACCTGGGATACCACCAATCTCTATTTCAGGTAATTTCATAAAAACAGTTGGGTTTCTTCATTGAGTAATCACCCCTTAAGATTTTAAGTTAATTAAGATGCAGTCACTACAGCCAATAGCATATCAGAATAAAGAGAATTTTTGTTTTGAAAATGGCACTGAGAGTCATTTTAGTGTAGAATACATCAGAGGGCAGGAATTAGGAGTAAATAGTAAGAAGATAAAAGACTGGAGATGTGGGTAGGGCAAATGGATTCATTGGACCCATGTTTTAGTTCTCTTATTTGCCAGAGCATTTTTTTTTTTTTTAAGGCGGCTGTGCCAAAACATTTTGTAGTTGTGAGGGCTCCTGGACAAAGACCTAGCACATTATGCTAATAACTGTCTGATATTTCCTTGGTCGAGATCTGCTATGTGTTCTTCTTTATGACTATTTTCTAAATCTACATCTGTTCATGTGAATTACATTTCATTATTGTAATCATGTGGGCCTAAAGGAAAAGTCACTTAAAATAAATTAGGCCTGGTAATTTATGGCCTTTGGGCATCAGTATCTAGAGAATAAGAACAAATTTCCAAAAGGATCATTCTGATACCAAAATTGAAAGGATCGTTCTGATACTAGAGTCAATTGAAAGGAGGCCATTAACTTCGACTTTCCAGAGCCCTCTGGACCCTACTGGGTAGACTCAGACTCCAAGGAAAGCTGCTTCAGACTCAGGATATTTCTGGAACCGTACCCAGTTTTTCCTTTTTTTTTTTTTTTTAAAAAAAAAAGGCTATTTCCCTAATTTATGTAGTTAATTAAACTTGACACCATGTTTGAGCAGAAAAATTATTTTTGAGGTATTCTTTCTTCAAAAAATAGGGAAGAGATTATTTTCTCACCTATTCTACTAACAGTAATGCTTTATCTTACCAAAAAAAAAAAAAATTGCATTTAGCTGAGCTGGATTTCATGCTGAAAGAGATGACTGTGAATTCCCATAGTGTCCTTTGTGAAGGACATTTCTCTTAGGTATTGGTCTCTACGTCCATTTTTTTGAGCCAATCCAAAACCATAAAAGGACCAGTGCAAACTTAATCTTACTGCCCATTGTCAGTTCCAGATGGAATCAAACTTCCATCTGTCCTTGTCACTCTAAATTCTAATGAGCCAAGGTTTCCTGTCTCCATGGCTTTGGGTTTTACTTACATCATTCCCTTCATTTGAAATATTCAAATTGAATTCATTCTGTCAGTTACTTTTATAATGAATTCACCTCCCATTAGACTTAAGTAACTTACATTGCTTGGTAAATAATACGTGTTGTTACACATCAGTAGTTTGAATGGCTAGACTCCTTTTTTCCTTAATGAGTATAAGCATCATGAATAAAATATATTGCTTCTAGATGTTATCCCACCTCTCTACATGGAATTTTAGCCCCACAAGAGCTTTTTGGTGTTCTTCCCTCCTTGTTTCAGAGGAGGTGACTGTGGTTCACATGCTGTGAGATCTCTGGAGGCTAGACACTATGAGCACAAATTAATATCAACTTCCTTAGAAGTTCTGAGCAAGGTTTTTGCAGTAGACTGCATGATTTTTAGTGCTAATTCCTGTGGAAGTGATGGCTTCTGCTGGAGGATTAGCAGTTAAAGATTTTTGGGGGGAGGGGGCTGGCCCGTGGCTCACTTGGGAGAGCGTGGTGCTGACAACACCAAATCAAGGGTTAAGATCCCCTTACCGGTCATCTTCAAAAAAAAAAAGATTTTTTTAAAACACCTCAACGCCGTTTATTATTGGCATTTCCAAAGTTATGTAATTATTTAACAAAATGGGCTTTTCTTGAGATTTGTTCAATATTCTTTGACTTGCTTTTTCTTTCCTCTTACTTGACTTCCTTTTTGTTAGAAAGCTATGTGCCCCATTCCTTAGGGGGAAAATCTTAGTTGGAATTATTGATGGGTAGAACAACATTTGCTCTTCCCTTCCTATCCTGTCATTTATAGATATCATCTTTAGAACAGGAGACCCAGGGTGGCCATTAGTCATGGTGGCACAGTCGGTGCTGATCAGAGAAGATCATGTGAGGAAAGGGGTCAGCAGCTGGAGAGTTTCCTTTTGTCCTTTGCTCTGGGATGATTAGCCTTGCAGCTGTAATAACCAAGGAATATAAGGTTTAAAAGGACATAAGGGTGGTATGGTTGATGGTGTGATGAGGGGAACAGATGCCCTGCACATAGTACCCCAGGAGGCTCAGAGCTTTTTGAGCAACTGGTAGTATTGGTAATTGATGTGCTATTATTTGCTTTTACTCTAATCTAGTGGTTTTCATATTTTTTAAAACAGTAGAACCTCTTTGTGTGGAGTGGGGGAGGGGGACCTTAAAAAAAAAATCTTATGTGAAACCACAATATGGAAAAAATAAGTGGTATTTTATTTGCATTATTTATAAAATAAAATGTATAGCATTTATAATCAGAAAAGTCAGGCGAGTTTGAGGAACATAAAGATTTGAAGTCAGGGGACTGGCCAGTTAGTTCATTTGGTTAGAATGTGATACTGAGGGCCGGCCCGGGGCTCACTTGGGAGAGTGTGGTGCTGATAACACCAAGGCCACGGGTTTGGATCCTATATAGGGATGGCTGGTTGGCTCACTTGGAGAGCGTGATGCTGACAACACCAAGTCAAGGGTTAAGATCCCCTTACTGGTCATCTTTAAAAAAAAAAAAAAAGAATGCTGATAACCCCAAGGTCCAGGTTCAATCCCTGTACCGGCCAGCTGCCAAAAAAAGATTTGAAGTCAGAGGGTTTTGGATGGCAGGCACAGCATTTATAAGTATCTATATCTCCTTTATTTTTGTGTTTCAATTTCACAATATTACATTTTTGCTCATATAAATAGGTGAATAGTAAACATTTAAAAGTAATACTGATCAGATATTTTCAGACTACCTGAAGCTCCTCTGCTCAACTGTAGAATACTGAGAACAAATTCCCAGTGCTACTGCTCTGCATTCAGGAGCTCCTCGAGAAATGTGGCTGTGTAACCTTGTAGGATGAGCACCTTGGGGGTTGGTTCTGTACACAGGAGCTGGTGACATGAGCCATTCTTGGCAGCTACTCTGGGAGGGCAAGAAGTGTGTGCTTGGAGGCCAGATGATGATACTAATATAGCGTCTCTGAATAAGCTTTGATTACAAACAGAAAAGAATATGAGGTCCTAAAGACATTTGTCATCATTGTTTGCAAATTGTTTTATACCGTACGCTGACCTAGCCAAGAAATCTTTCAAACAAGTGGAATTGCTAAGCATTTGTATGTGTGTGTTTGTGGGTCTTCCTTGATCCTCTGTCATCCAAGTTTATCGAACTATTTGATAGAAGATAAAGTCATCTACTTTCGCCAAAAAGTAGCATAGGCCATGTGGGCTACTTTTCACATAAAAGGAAGCTCAGCCCAGCATCTTTATCCCTCTAATCACTAGAGATACGTGTTTACAATTATTATTATTTTTTTAATATCAAGCATATCAATCACCAGCTGCAAAAGCAAGTTAGCTTCCCTTGGCCCAGGTCCTGAGGGAGGGAATTTGTCCTAATAGCATGTACGGCTTGTGTTCCAACCATTCCGTGAGATGCTGCTCTTCCTCCTGCCTTAACCCGAAGCTGCTGGTTTCCTGTCTCCACCTTGAATATCCAGAGCAGCTACACGAAACTCATTTATTCCCCCAAAGAAACCATCGACGTGGGGCAGGGCATTGCCCGGGTAACCCTGCCTTCCTTTCGCTAGCACCTACTACTGCCTCCCTGCCCCAGCTGCTCTGGCACACACATGGGCCTTGCTCACTGTCCAGCCCGGGTTTTCCACTCATGCCATTATCTCCCTCCACCTTCTTGGAACATATTCTTGGTCTCCTGATTCCTGAAGTCACTCAGTTGTTCACTTCTGGCCACTAGCAACCTCACTAGGGAACGTTTGTGAACTGAATTAAGAATACCATCTTAGGGCTGGCCGGTTATCTCGGTTGGTTAGAGCACAGCCTTGTAAAACCAAGGTCAAGGGTTCAGTTCCCCATACCAGCCAGCTGCCCCCCCACAAAAAAGAATGCCGTCTTGTGTGTGTGCCCCCATTCAAGAGCTACATATGGAGAAAGAAGTAACTTGTTTGTTGTCATTGCAAGAATTCGACACATTCTCCTGACTCTGCCTGCATTACGTGCTTCTCTGCTCTGCAAGTAGTAGAGGGCCCTAGAATCAGATACCTCACTGAGGATCACAAGAAAGATTGAATTGTAACTATCCCTCTTAAAACTGCTGGGCACAGAAATCCAGTCTTTTTTTTAAACACTTCTCTTCGTGCCTAGCATTCATCATTACAGATTGTGTATTTGCAGATTTGCACTCTGGCCACATGAGTATGTCTCTAATCCAATTTCTTGTTGCTGTTGTCCCTTCAGTAGAGAATATCAGTCAGTAGATTTTCAGTGCCCTGCTTGTTTCTTTCATTTCCTAGTTGCTCCTTCTCGAGAGAATAGCTTCTTCTTTGACTGTTCTTGGTAAGGCTTATT